GTCTCTCGGAATAAACTTCAAACAGAAACGACTGTGAAAGGAGAGAGATGGCCTCAGATTATCAGAGAAATTGGTCAAGAAGGGATCACAATTCTACATGTGTGAACACCCAAACTGACGGAACAAGTCCCGAAAACAGAGCTGCTAGGTATAAAGTCACAGGTGAACCCTAGTGATACAATAGTACCACACTCACAAACTAATCAGGGGCTGGGTGGTGGGGAGACATTGTTTTAATCCCAGCATTTCAGAGGCAGAGGCAGGTGGATCTGATAGAGTTCAAGGCCAGCCTGGTCTGCAGTGTCAGTTCTAGGGCAGCGAGGGCTGTTACCCAGAGAAACCCTGTCTCAAAACCAACACAGGAAAGTTGAAGCTTGGCTAGTTGGTAAGAGGGAGGGGTCAGTGGGTGTAAGAGGGGCCTAAGTGGGTCATTGTGCTGAATTTGATCAAAATGTATAAAATACATGGATAAAAATGTAATAATAAAATCCACTATTATATATAACTTATATATGTTAATAAAACACTTAAAGAATAAAATTAAGAATGAAGAAAAGGACGGGAACCCTGAACCTTCATGCTTGCTCTATCCTGTGTGTGATGAAGAATCATAGGCCGAGCTGGTGCCGTGTTCCCGGACTCCAGTCTCTGGTCCATGAGCTACACAGAACTTCATTCTTCCTAATTAGCTAGTTATAGGCTTCATCCTGTCGGTGTCTCAGAATAGATGAAGAGATTTGTTTTGACCTTCAAGACAGAGTGACGTTTTGAAGGTGTTCCCTCTCTGCTGTCTGTCTGTAGAGATAGGATTAATGGAGACACGTGTAAGTGGATCCATCTCTCACTTTCTGCAGCAGACACTGTAGACAAGATGTTTGGTAGTTAAACAACCCTTTCATAGGGGTCTCCTAAGACCATTGGATATATCAGATATTTACAGTAAGATTCATAACTGCCTGGGCGGTGGTGGTACATGGTTTTAATCCTAGCACTTGCTATTTTGTGGCCAAGTTGGTCTACAGAATGAGTTCCAGGTCAGGTTACAAAGCTGCACAGAGAAGTCCTATCTCAAAAAATTAAAAAAGCAAAAGACTCAAAACAGCCATAAAATGAGAGTTCTGAAGTGGCAATTTTATGGCTGGGGTCACCATAACATGAGGAAATGTATTGAAGGGTGGTGTGGTCACTTCCAACCAAGTTCACCAAAGCCCAGCTCCTACAGTGGCTTCTCCCATCACCTTCAGTAATATCCTGATGCCAGCGTGACCCTTCTCCCTCACTGAGAAGAACACATGACTGACTCACCTGACTCTGGCAGGAGTGTCCTTGGGACCTTTGGCTGATGGACATGGACTGTACTGGCATATGCTGCTAGTGTCTTGTAGGAGGAATGAATAAACCGAGGCATCTGGGAGGTGTCCCTGTGAAGCCAGTCAAAGGGAACCTGGCTCCCAAAGGTTCCTTTCCTCACTGGCTGCTCACTGCCTCATCACAGCAGCCCAGTGGCTCCCGAGGACGCTGATGCGCATCCACCTGTCCAGAAGCCACTCCTCTGATCTCCTCCCCATGCCTGCCTCTCCTGTTGGACACTGGACATCCATAGCCCTAGTTGTGGGATGTGTTAAAACGTACAGTGACTGTGTGACATGGGCAGAAATGAAGGGAAACTTGCTAAAGGAGTTCTGGGGGCTCTTGTTAAAGACATAGGTGAGTCAGGATGGATGGCTGTCCCTTTCTCTTTCTTCCTGCCTCACAGTTCTTCCTGCCTCACAGGCTGTAGTACCCCGATTGCTACCGGGGGAGCCGGCCTCCAGTCAGAACGAGGGCATACAAAAACAGACCTGAATTCAGTGATGTCTTAGGAAATATTCTTATCTATCTGAGGGGGGAAAATAAGGAAAAACATGCTTTCTGATGGTATCTTTCTCGTTCACTTCTCTTGAAAAAAATCTTCTCTGAAAATCTCTCTTGCTCTTCTACATAGTTTTCCACAGCTCTCTATGTAGCTGTGATGATGGGGATTGCATTGAATTTATAGATTACCTTGTTAGAATTTTTACTATACCTTTCGTAATGTGGCAGGATACAAGATCAACTCCAAAAAATCCGATACACAAAGAACAAAGAAGAGTGAAATCAGAGAAACATGACTTTTCACGATAGCCACAAATAGCATGAAGTATCTTGGGATATCTCTAACCAAGGAAGTGAAAGATCTATTTGACAAGAAATTTAAGGCTTTGAAGAAAGAAATTGAAGAGGATACAAGGAAATGGAGGGATCCCCCATTCTCTTGGATTGGTAGGAACAACATTGTATGAATTGCAATTCTACTAGAGGAAGCAAGAAGTGCAATCAAGCAACTTCCAAAATTTCCTCTCCGGCGGGGGGGGGGGGGGGATAAGAAAAAATGCTATCTGATGGTATCTTTCTCTTTTATTTCTCTTGAAAAAAATCCTCTCTGGAAATCTCTCTTGCTCTTCTATATCATTTTCCACAGCTCTCTATGTAGCTCTACACAGTCTCTCCTCAATCCAAATTCTGGAAAATTATATGTTACCTTTCCAGGACCTTACTCATTTTCATAACACAAGATAAATCAGAGTTTCTCTTAGGCTAGGGAGGTCACATTAACTGTCCAGTGTGGAACGCAGGGCTATGCACATGGCTCTACATTGGTGAGGGTTCCAGACAGAAAGTGTCGTTGAAATTCAGGACTTAAACAATAAGTAGTTGGTTGAACCTTGAGTGGTATGGAGTATGTCCATGAGATCCATTACTATTGTCTACCAAAGTTGCTTCAAGTCTGATTTGAATCGGTAATAAACACCTGGGAATTCACCTTGTGTATTCATTGCCAGGGCAACCAGTTGCTTTGAATTTGTTCTGAAGTCTAAAATTAGCTGTTCTTGTGATTGAAAATAAAGTTACTTTCCTATGTCAGTCTGAACAATGTAAAATATCTTAGCATTATTTCTACTTATCAAAATCATCTCAGGTTATGCAGAAATCATCATCCTGACCATCCACAGCTGTACGTGTGCCCAATATATGGAATATACACATGAGAGAAACACACAAGCAGAGGGAAAAACCCATCCAGTTCTCAGGGAAGGAAGAAACGAAGTGGTACAAGAGAGAAATTACAGACAGAAGCAACGGGTCACTTATATTCAATGATTCCGTGACGTTCCCAGGTAGGACTCCCCATGACAGTCATTCATCTGGTGGGTTGACCTACTGAACACTAATTGTCACCTACTGTATGCTCCCATGGCCCCCTTCAGACCCTTAGACATGAGGACCATGTGCCAAACAGAGCTGGGAGAACGGGCAAATGGGATAATGAGATGGAATCTTGGGTGACTCCACACTTGCCTAGCAGCATCTGCACTGTGGGTCTTGGTCTTCTATGCTCGTATAGGGCTGTGGACATGCCCACTTCCCAAGCATGCAACACCCTGAATCCTCCGCGCTGAGATGGAGGAAGGCTCTCTTGGTCAGCTCTGAACCTGCCTTGGACCTCACCCTTCTTGCCTTCTTGGATGACTGTCCCCTGGGTAAATGCTTTCAGGGATCTCTGATGGTGTCTGGCCTGACCTGCTCCTGGAAGTTGAGGCAGGGAACCTCTTTCCTCAGCTGTGCTGAGCTCTCCAGATGAGGCTCTTCTTACTCTTGATTCTGCCTTTTCATCAGCATGACTTTAGCTTAGTAGAGGAAACCACAGTGAGAGTCAGGACCATGTAAATGTCTCCTGAGCCACAGGCCAAACATGGTGGGGAATGGGTTGGAACATTCATAGACTTTTAACAGTCAGGATGGGGCTACTGACTCTTAAGTCAGGGGTCAAGACAACCCCATCCTGCCATCTGTAACTCCAACAACACGAGCAGATCTCATCCCACCTGGAGATCCTGAAGATCTTCCAGGAAACTTTTTACATCAACAGTGACATCACAAGACAGTCTTGCAAACATTTGCCAGCTCAGAGTTGTCTAGAGGAAACTTCAGCCAATGAAATGTGATCTGAATCCAATTGAAGGTAACCTATTTCTATGCTGTATAAATATTAACCTTCCCATTTTCAGGGGGTGGGGGATCAGCACAAAGGAGTCAGGCCACCAAGGTTACCCTACCCTATTCAGAACTCTAGAGAAGAGGGTTGTCTCAGACCAACGGGACCAGGCATGTTGTTACCTGTATCAGAGAGCATCGACCTTTCATGCAGCCTCCCTTTGTGTAGAGATCTTAAAGGAGACAGGAATCTTCCATATCAATAGTGACATCATGACTGGTGTAATCATCTGAGCAACTAAAACAGACAAACCACCTGGGACCACAAACACAGAGAAGGCAATTTCATGCCATACCGACAGCCCATTCTGAACCAGTCTGTTTCCCCAGAAGAAGTGAAATCCCTGAGCTCTCAAGGGTTTCATGTGATTCTCGTCTTTGAGACTTTGAGATGCATCAGGACACTTCAAACACCATGACATTGTTGTCCTGTGGTGAAGGGAAGTGAGGAGACCCGTGTCTAGAGGCGCCAGTGAGCCAACATTACACAGGCTCAATGTGTCAGTGCAGGGATCCATCTTGGCCTGACTTCAGCTGTTTTGAGTCCAACCATCAAGAGCCACGACAAGAAACCCCAACCTGCTCTGCCTGCATGGGCCCCCGTTTTTGCAGTGGACTGTAGGTGTTTGTGAGGGGTCCCAAGTGCAGCCAGTGCTAGAACCAAGCCTGACATTGGTGTCATTAGCTGAGACTAGAACAGACACTTTCTGACTCTGGTTAATGTCAGGATTATCCTGCTCACCACTCCTCCCTCTGAGAGCTGTGGCAACCCACCAGCCTTCTTACCTTCCTCAGCCTGGTGTTTGCCCATATCTTTCTACCTCAGATCAGTCTGATTTATCCTGACCGCCTTTGTCTTTGGTCCCATGCCACCTTCTTCTGCTGTCATTGACTGCTATATACTCCATTTTCTAGACCACAGTAAATATTTATTGAACAAAAATTATAAAAGACAAGAGGACAAAATCCAGGTTATCTAGACACTATCTTGGCCATCACACCCCCCCCCACACACACAGTATGAGAGGAAGCTGAGGGTCACAGACTGAGTCTCTTGTCACAAACATGTTGACCCCAAACAATACTTTGTTTGACATCTTATGTACATCTGCCTCGACTCTCTATCTCAAAAGACCCAATAATGACACCGCACAGCATAGACATTCACTTTGATGTCATTGGTCTCTCTGGTGACCCTGTCCCCCTGGAGGACTGACTACTTCTCAGGAACTCCATCTTTTCTGCTGTCACCACCACCATCCTCAACATCATCTACATCCCCATCATCATCACCATCACCATCACTATCCAGACATTACTTCCTAGAAGACACAAGGGTGAGTTGATCCTGCTGATGCTGGGAAGAATCACCTAGAGGTCATAGGGACCCTGCCCTCAGGGAACGGGATGTGGTCACCTGCTCTGGCTTCAGTGCCTACTCTGGCTTTCTCCCATCTTCAGCCATCCAGGTTTCCTAGGTTCTCATGGCTTGTTCGTGTACTGCTCTGCATATCAGACCCTCTGTATTGCAGTCCTAGTCCCATTCTCTAGGCATTCTGGCCCCTTATTTTAGATTTCAGTTCTCACCTTCTTAAAGCACTGACTATCTACGTTGACCTTGCTCTGCTCAGCCAGAGAAATAGAAACCACTCAACCCTCAGTTCCATAGATTTGATCATGCGTTATTTTCCTTGTAACAGTATGTTCCCCACACCTTGTCCCCACCCCTGTACATGTCCTTTCCCCTGAACTCTTAACTGCTTGGTGGAGGGATCACTAAGGCTGGACCGACTGAAGATCCTTGTGGAGCTGCTCAAATTCGTGCAACTTCTCTTTTAGATAGATAACCAACGCCCGTAGCTCTTCAGGTGACTCTATTTTTGCAGTGGTTTTGAATTTCATGGTTTCTCCTGCTCTGATGGCTTGGATATGTTCCCTGAGCGTCTCCCAGGCACAGAATAATTGCACACATGCACTATCATGTTTGATTACAATCAAAGGCATGATCTTGTAGATTCTGTTCAGGATGTTTTTGCTGGCTTGAACCAGGCACCTTGCTTCACTTTCATTTGCCCCTCTGATGGATTCTTCCACAATGGTAGTGGTGACACCTGTTGCAGCTGCTGCTGCTCCTACACCTACTGCTGTGGTCATCAGAGAGGTCCCTCCTGTGAAGGGTGCCACAAATAATCCAGCGATTGTAGCGGCAATGCTTGTGAAGTCGGACACCACATTGGAGAAGCTGCAGCCCCTGTGCACCTCGTCAAGACGGTCAGCCATGTCTCGGAAATTCCTGACGTTTTCTTCAAGTTTCCTTTTCAACTCAGGAAATTCTTTCAGAAAATTCTCTTTCTGCTGCCTCTTTTCTGTTTCATCATTTTCATCTGTAGGCTCCTGGGCTAAATGCTCCTTTAGTGCAAAACGCAGGTCAGCTTCCTCCTCGCTGTGAGAGAAGAGATAAAGTTCATGAATAAAATAGTAACTTTTTGAATGTTAAAGCCTTGTTCAAACCTCACTTTCATCCTACAAACCCAGCAGGAGTAACGAGCAGAAATCTGTGATCAGCACTCTACCCTGAACATCTGGTACTGTATAGACACCCAGGGCCATAATACACAGGGTCCGTGTATGAAGTCAGGACACTTGACACAATTAGAGGCACTGATAAAATGACTTCACTCAAGGTCAAGTCAATGCCATCACTGTCTGTGGGAGCCCTGTAGATGAGCACTGTGTTGTGGGCTTAGAGCAATTATTCTTTAACTCATAGAACTGTGTGTGTTGTTTCGAATTCCCCTTTCCCAAGAGTCTCCTCTCTGTTCCTGGTTGCCCTGAAGTCATCTAAGCCCATGCAGTGTCCAGCTGAGAAGAATGCCTGTGTATTTGCCTGGAAGGTCTACAATGGACCATTCACAGGGTAAGCCAAAAGTGGATTCTTCAGCCTTAATGAATTCCAAACCTAATGTCTCAAAACTCCACATCTGTCCTCATGGGACAATACACAGTGACAGCACAACTGATTTAAAAGAATTACATAAAACTCCTCCATCTCCTGTACACTGTCAGCATTCAGGCAGATTCAGGTTCCATCTGTAATATACTTCACGAAATATCTGCAGGTGTTTCAAAGTGTGGAAAATGCAGGGTCTGAGATGCATCTGTTCCCAAGAATTTCCTATAAAAATGCTCAACCTGAAAGAGGTGGGAACTTTGGTGCCATTTCTGACCTGCAGAGGAACTGGAGGAAACAAAGCACTGATCTTAGGAAGATTCCCCTGAGGCCTGTGTCACTGGAATTGATCTGTTGTTGATGTCCCTGTAAAGGATCTGCTGTCCTGCCCTCCTGACATGTGTCTGCAGGTCCCCAGCTCCTTGTGTGTACAGAGTGACTCCACCTCTGTTCCACTAGGGCAACAGAACTGAGCAGTGTCCTCCTGGCTTCTTGGACCTGCTTCAGGATGAAGATTCTTTCCTAGGGTGGGCTTTCTGGTTTGCAGTGGTCATGTGATTTCCTGGTGTGCAGTAGTCATGTGATTTCATGGTGTGCAGTGGTCATGTGATTTCCTGGTTTGCAGTAGTCATGTGATTTGTCACACACTCAGTGCAGGTCAACACTGCACACAAAGGAGAAAAAACTTCAAGCTTGAATCTCTCCTTTTTCTGTCTGCTGGATATTTCCATTGGCTATTTTAACCCTCTGTGCTCCATGGTTAACTGTTACAATGTCACAATTAACTTATATGTGAGTTCTATGTGTGGTTTTTGCAAATCTCAATCTTGTTTGGATTAGAGTAGTCCTTCATTAAGGACTGGTGTCGAATATAAAAAGAAGGCTCACTGAGACTCTTTCCTCAGACTTTCATTTAGCTATTTCTGAGAATTTAAAATTAAACCCAAAACAAACCTTCAGAGCCACAAGAGACATTCCCAATCCTTTTGCCTGATCTCTGCAGATTGCCAAATTCCTTTCCCTCCTTGACTGGATCTCACAAGGTCAAGTGGCTGCCTGAGGTGACCGAGACAGGACAGCTGCCATTAACCCTGGCTCCACAGACTCCCACGCCTCACTCACTCTAGGCCAGGTCTAGTCAGAGTCCTGCGAACAGAGGTCACCATTGCTAACAGACATCACAGCTAGTGACAGTGTCTCATTTGAACACAGCAAGACCATGTGCAAAGATGCAAGGGGCCTAGGGATAACTAATAGTGACAGGCAGGCTAGACATCACCTGAAGCTGGACAGGCAATAAGGGAAATATTGTCCTCTGAGATGTTGACATGTGATCCCCTCAGACTCTCAGCTTCTGCAAACCGTCCTCCAACCACATTGCCTGTGGACTCTTGTCTCTAGCCACACGCTCTTTCTGATACTCAGGGAGCACTGTGTAGAACAAGATAGAGTCTGAAATACCACCTGAGAACATCTGGGCACACACAGCACGTGGAGGGTGTGTCCAAACACAATGTTGCACACACATAAAGCATGAGGTCAGGGCCGAGGAGATCAACACACTTCTCCATCTTGCATGTCCCCTGCTAGGCCTCTTCTCTGTGCCTCCAATTCCTCCATCCTTCCAGCCCTGCTGTCCTTGCCTTCTACCTGCACCTCCATTCTAGGGTCACTCTCAGTCTTTCCTGAACCGTGGATGAGATACTGGTCTTGGTCTCTGTGGGTTTTGGAAAGGGTGCTGGCACTTGGTTTTCCATCTCTGACCTGCTGCTCATCCCAAGCTGTCATCATGTCCTATCAGCCTGCACTTTTATTCCTACTGAACACAGCTGGGCTCCAGATCTCGGACAGTCAGGGTCAACCCAGTTCTGTGCAGCTGCACTGTGGGCTCTCGGCCTCCTCAGCCCAGAGGAGGATCCTGCTGTTGTCACAGCTTCTCGCATTGGAGAAAAGTGACTGAGACAGAAACTGAGAACACAGCTAACCATGTTTACATTTTCCTCACTTGTCTCACAATAAGTTCTTGATTCCTCAGTCCTACAGGAGACTCCTGGTCCTGGTCTATTCCCATGTCTAAAGTAGCTCTCAGTGATAAATTTCAGGGACACCCACTGTGTACTGGTCACATGCTGAGAGCTGCACACACATAATCTTATTTCCTCACACTGCAGTCTCATGGTTGTGACACTCAGGAAGTGCTAACTAACTTGCCAAGGTCACAGAACTAGTAGATGTCAGAATTGGTTCCGGCACCCTGAGCAACAACTTCAGTCAACCTGAGGAGATGTCCACCAGGGATAAAATAGTGGAAACATCCCTCCTGGATTGTTGAGAAGGAATGTCCACAACCCCACCCCTGGGACTGCCTAGAGTGTGTCTGCCCGCCCAGGAAAACCCTCATCCTCATGGTCTGGTGGGTAGTGCTGGGTGCATCTCGCAGGTAACCTTGACAACGCTGCTCTTGCCACAAATGCCTTCCAGACTCCATCTTCAGTTATCAAGAGCTTCAGGTCATCTCTGCCCACTTTGTTTGTGATGAAGGTAGTTATTCTGTCCACTATGCTTATTGGCACTGTATACCAAGAAAAAGAGTGAGGTTAGAGGACAGAAAGGAAGAGGTTAAAGGGCAAGTGGCAGCAGGCGGTGAGATACCATGTTTCTGAGCATTTTTCTTCAGGTTCTAATGGGGTCTCCTGGGTTGTAGGTTCAATTATGTCCCCTAAATTCAATTGTAAAAGCTCTTAGGCTCAGCAACTGTTGCTTGGATACAGAACCTTTAAGGAAGTAAAGTAATGAAGAACAAATGATGCTCTAAATATAGAGCGCTACTCAGTGGGACTGGTGTCCTCATGACAGTGAGATACCCGAGGTCTGTTCTCTGTCATCTCTCTGTCATTTCATTATCTATCATATGTTCACACGGTTGTCTCTGTGTCCACCTACCTCTCTGTCTATGTCTATGCATTCAGAGGAGACACCATGTGCAGATGTAGTGACCCTTCTCCCTCTGCATACCAACAAGAGGATGCTCATTGGGACTAAATTTCCAAATGTTCATTATAGATATGGGCTTCCATTGCTGAGGGAATTGACAGAGCTTTTGTTGAATTCCTTTTTGCCCCCACCACCAGATTCTAACACAACAAAATCTGTGGTAGCAGCGCCTTCAGATGTGACTGTCCATCCACTGGTGAGCTCTCCACTAGCTCATTGTGTCAGTAGTAGAATGTTAAAGAGATAAGGAATCAACATCAGTGTCTACTGCACATGGAGGGACTCGGGTTTTTCCTGGTTCAGGGCACTCTGACACCATGAAGAAATCATCCAGGACCACTCGACTCTTGCATCATTCATGACTCCACAGCCAGTACCCACTAACTACTACTAGCCTTACTGCTAAGTACGGCTGCCAGCTTGGGGCGGATTGTTTTCCCATCAACCACAGCAGCAGCAGCTTTGTACAGTGAAGCAGTGTTTTCCTGGAGGAAGCAAATGTTGGGCTTTCTCTTTTCTGGGCCATAGCTGAAACTCCAAACTGAAACTTAGTTGGCCAGCACCTTGCCTGGAATGCACCCTCCCATACTTCCCCGAGAGCAGGAGCCTTCCCACAGTGCCCCTCAGTGTCCCTGTGTCCTTGGCAGTCACAGCCATTGCTCAATACTGAGCTTCCTAGTGTCCTTTTCTCTCCAAATACAAAATGTCAAACACTTGTCATTTGTTACAGCCCCACCTGCTCTTTCATTGTTGACCTCCATACAGAGTCAGCATGAATAACCATTCCACAGACTCAATATTACAGCACATTGACCTTACCCCACAAAGAAATTATCCATTGCTTTTTAATTTAGCTCTTTGTTAGTTCTCAGAATATGGACAGAAAGCACCTAGGTTATTTCCAAGATATTATAGAAATGGCCTCTATCCCAATTGCCAATAAAGTCCTTGCATCTCTCTGAAACCACATGAACCAGAATGCCCACTTCAGCGTTGATTCCGCAGGACTGCCTTCCAGGATCCTGCCCCACTGACCCCTGGGTCTTTGCTTTCAGTGTTCAACTGCATGTCTAGTCCAGTGTTCCAAAGCCTCCCACATTTCTTGCATATATGTATATTCCTCTCTCTTCACTCTCTTTCTATACATAGACAGCAACTATTTGCTATATATACTTCACACACTAACACACACACACACACGCACAGGCACACACACACAGAAACACAGACACACACACACACACAAACACACACACGTACACGTGCTTGTAACGAGGTTCTTCACAGAAGGAACCCGCTCTCTGGTGAGAATTTCTGGATTATTGCTTCTCTGTTGTCATAAACACTACGACTACTTTAATGAAACTCATTTGGCCTCCAGCTCCACATGGTTAGATGTCCATAGTGGCAGTGAAGGGACAGAAACAGGTGTTGGAAGCTGAGAGATCACATCTCTACTGCACCTAAGAAGTGCAGAATATACTGGAAGTTGCAAGGTTATGGATTCTATTTTATTTTTTTAGCCTTATTTTATTTTATTGTTGAGATAAAGTCTCATCATGAAGCTCTGACTGACCTAGAACTCAATATGTATATTAGACTAGAATCAAATTCACAGAGATCCTCCTACCTCAGCTTCCCCAGTGGTGGGATTATTCATGCGTCCTTCAATAAAGTGGGTTATAAACTCTAAAGGTCCACCCTCAGGGGTAGACTTCCTTCAGGAAGGCTCCATGTCCTGTAAATTCTGTAACTGCCTAAATGGCAACACTAATTGAGAACCAAGTATTCAAATGCTTGCCCTTCTGGGGTATCTTTAGTAGGAACAGCCAGCACAATTATACACAAAAGCACCAACACAGGCGAACTACGAAGACAAAAAGAACCTGGTTTGGACAAGTAAAAGGTGCAGCATTTCCTTCCCCCATTGGAACTTTTGTGAGATGGAAGAAGGAAAGAATAAAGGTAGTTCGCTACCAGATGTCATGACTGCGTCTGTTCCTCAGCACCACCTCTGGGACTTCAGATAGGTTCTTCTCACAGCTCTTCACGTGTCATGGCTGGAGGGAGGAGAAAAACAAATGTAAGATGCCATGGGGACAGTGAGGGAAGTCAGGTGGGAGCGGACAGGGGTCCAGTGGTTCCACAAGAGTGGGGGTAAAGAACCAAACAACTGGCAGCCAGAGTTTCTCCTCCTGTGTGCCCCACACTTCTGCTTAGAGATGTCGGGCATCTGGTCTACCCTCTCCCCTTTCCCTTGCCACATCAGAGCCTTCATGTGCTGTATTGTCCGTGAACAATGTCGCCAGCTAGGGACACAGCCATGAAGGAAAACAACATACAATCTACATACAAGATGTATATATGTGTGTATATATATATGTATGTATATATATATATATATATGTATGTATATATAAAGAGATACTCTGTCAAGTCCTAGGTGGGCACATATGGGAACTGAAGGTAATAGCAGATGTTTTCTGTATGTCTGTGATACCCAGGGCTCCTAATACAACCTCTTTATGTGCCCAACATCCTCGATGAGATGAGGACACTCATGAGCCCCAAAGCTAACTGAAGATCCTAAAGGTTGCTGACAACAGTCTGCCATGTTTCCGAGTAATGCTATACCACAGATTGAACCTGATTGGCACCTCCCTTTTTAGGTATGACTCCCCACACCCTTAAACACACAGTAGCACTTCCTTTATGTCCCATGTGACTGTGAGAGCCGCCTCACTCAAACCAGGGCAGGTTCCCTGTGACACCTTAAATTCTTGTATGCTACAGGCAGCTCCTCGAGCGCATACCCTCTTTGTTTCTGCAGGATCCTGCATCCCGCCAGGGCTGGAGTCCTGTCAGTCCCTGCCCTGGTCCATCTATTCTTCTGCCCTCTTCCTAAGTGTTCATTCATGTGAACAGCAGTGGAAGGCTATTCTCTTGTGAGAAACGTCTGCACTGGGATTATTTTCTGTAAGGTATTTCTAGAAGCAATATGCCTGGATCATGTATTATGTATCTTTAATTTTTTCATAACCTGAAGCTTATTGTTGTAGACATAATGTGTGAGAACCCACACTCCCACAGGCAGTGCATGAGGGCAGACATTCCCCCTGGACTCTTAGTGCCCAGCAGCCTGAAACAGCAAATCTGACTGCAGGTGGAGAGGCTGAGGCAGGGTGGGAGCTGACAGTTTGAGGCCAGCGGAGGCTTCTCATGCAGACAGTAGATCTAACTTAGGACCATCACCACTGAGGTTTGGGGTAAGGTTGCCTTTCTATGTATGTCAGGTAGACCGAGGGGCATCCATCAAGCCCAGGGGCAACTGTAGTGAAGGCACATGCATGGAGACCCAGAGGTGGCAGGGGCCTGAACACTCAGAACCCCAGATTCTCTAAGGCTTCGTGCAGAATATCACACTCTACGCTTCCAATGACCTTTAATGTATGTGCTATTTGTGTCCCTGTTCCCCTCTCTCTGTAGCCCCCTCCCTGCCTTCCAACCAGTGAGATATCCACCCCAATCGTCCTCCTCCCCTTCATACTTCTGACAGCTTAGGGACCTGTGTCTCTTTTTTCCTCTCTACCAGTGCTCAGCCTTGCAGCAACCACAGATGGAGAGCAGCCTGCGGGACTCAGTGGGGCAGGCAATCCAGCTCCCTCTATCAGAGGATTAAAACAGGGACATGGAGAAGTGTGAAAAACCCCATGTCACACAGCACGCAGAGCAGAGAGGTTAGGGAAACAACAGCCCTGACTCAAACCGAAGAGAAATCCTGTGGATTTAACACTCTCGGTCCCTCTGCTCTATTAGAGCCCACTCCTCTGCACAATCTGCACCTAGTGTTAGGCTGGGGTGCCATGATCCTGGGATTCTGCACTGAGTCCACTCTCAGTCCCGTTTCCTGAGTCCCTTTCACACTTGCACACACAGGACAGCCTTGGCTTCCTTCTCTGTCCCCCACGGGCTAGCAGAGGGCATCTGATGACATGGAGTGAGCCTCTCACCAACCTGTTCAGCCTCCATCCAGGTCCTCTACACAGGTCACTCTCTGCTATGCCTCAGTTTCTCCACAGTTCCTGACATAGCATAGTCAACAAGGACCACGTGAGCCAGCACCCCTTAGTCATCCTGGACATCTTACTAAAACCTTATTCTCATTGATCCAAGAACAGCACCCCAAGACAAGTGTTGTTTGTCCATGCAGCACAGGTTGCTATCCCTGTGTCCCCCAAACTCTTCTAGTTTCTTCTTCTGTTTTTTAAACTATTTAAAATGACAGACCACGAAAAATGGCTACCTTCCCTCTAGGGTCCCTGATCATGTCTCAGGCTGACCTGCAAGGATTGTCAGGGCCCAAGCAGTGTGGAGATCCCATCTGAGGCATCCCACGCCCTCTCCTGGGATGAGGGCAGAGGAATAGAGAGAAGTAGACAGACCTCGTTCTGACTGCAGGTCCAGCCATGCTGCTGCTGAGTCTGCGACCTGAACCATTGTCCAACCTTGTTGAGTTCAGCCATAAAATGGGACTATAACCCTCCTTCTCCAAGCACTTGAAAGGATAAATATGTAGGGACAAGGATACTCAAACTCACCAAGGAATCTTCCGGTAACCAAGGGATGATGGGTCCCAGCTGTCCTTAGCTATGTGGAACCAGTCACCGGCTGCATGGGTGAGACACAAACAGACTAGATCTAGGCTCTATATCCCCAGTGCCTGAAAGTGAAAGAAAAATTTCTGGTTGTGGTCTCTCATGATAAAACAACCCAGCAGGCATGATGCCTGCCAGGCACCACCCTACAGATCCCCATGGCCAGGAGCTGTTATGCCCAAGAGCACGCCTGGCCTGGGTGAGATAAGAGTAGACCAAGAATGAAGGTTGCTGATGTGGCTTCAGCTGGGCGCCCACTTCCAAGGAAAAGAACACATTCGTGACTGTGATGATAAGAGAATGCTTGGTCTCACAACAGGGACCAACCTTGTTTCCATGGATTGGAGGAGAGAGAATAAACTTGGGACTCGCCACAGTCATGGGTACATTTCTCATGCATCTCTCAGGACTTTCTGATGATGGAAAGGTTCAGAGTAATAGAAGCTTACTATAGCAGGGCTGGGAGGAGAGGGTGGCCAGGGAGGAGGGCACCACTAGGAAGGCAGTCAAGGTCTAGCAGAGGGCACTTAAGAGGCACAAGGGACATTGCTTCCCTCCCAGCTCTGACCTCAGGCTTCATGAGCTGCAGAGCTGTGCGTGGGTGTCCTCTACACACTGTCTGCTCTGAGGGGTCCATGATGATATTAGTGCCTGTCTTCTGATTTAATCAGAGTTCCCAGAACATCACAAAGAATGTGTGGCTACAGATAACTCCCAAAGTCAGTGTGATTGAAGGAAGATTTTCATAAATCCAGCATATGAGTGGGTCCTATGTCCCCTCTCAGATGAAAACTCTTCCCTTGTTGCCTCTCACAATTTGAGTGGATTTCCTAGCTGCACTTTATGATTGGTGGTCTCCTGGCCACTTTCGTCCTTGCAGGCAGCCTCGCTTTATTCCAATGCAATGCTGGCACCTAGTGTGGTGTCTGTTTCCTGGTGACATCTGTCTGCAGGATCTTGAATGAGACCTGCCATGGGGGTTTAAAGCCAGTGAGGGACGAGAGTCATCCTGGAGCCAGGGTTAGTGGAGATCTTCTGCTCTCAGCAGCTGACCCTGGGTGCTTTATAGATGGGGGGAGTGGGCTGTGGGCATCTGTATAGAGCATTCCGCAGGCAATAGATGTGGGGCCTCACTTATGGCTCTGAGAGGTTTTTGTTTTCAACTGCATAGTAAGTTGCCAGGAGTACTGAAGTTGGCCAAGTCTAAAACAACAGTCTCAATTAGCTGCTTGTACCTTTCTGATAATGTCTTAGGTAGGGTTTCTGTTGCTGGGATGAACACCATGACCAAAAGTAATTGTGGAGAAAAGGGTTTGTTTAGCTTACACGTCCCTGCCAGGGCCCATGATGGGAAGAAGTCAGGACAGGAACTCAAACTGTTCGGTATCCTGGTGGCAGAAGCTGACACAGCAGTGATGGAAACTGTTTCTTTCTGGCTTGTTCCCAGTGTCCTTCTCTGCTTGAATTCTTAGGGCAGTCCACGGGTATTGCCACCCACAATGTGTTTGCCCCTCCAACATCAATCACCATTTAAGTAAGATGACAGTGGCTTGCCTAGGTGTCAGAGCAATGCTGAGAAGGCTTCATATTAGACAGTGGCTCTTATTTAGATTTTTATCCTCTTTATATGCTCACCTAGTTTGGTCCATTGCCGAGCTCTCCAGGCAAGCACAGACATTCCTGCAGCATGGAAGCCTTGGGGCAGCAGATGACTTCCCAGCAGCCAAGAGAGGGAAGACTCTCTGGAAAGGGGAAACCCTCACGACTCTTTAACACTCTATGAGCTTGGAGATTTGCTCTGATCCCACATCCCCGTGCTCATCCCCAGAGTCACCAGTGGACAAATATTTTGGTAGTGATGTCATTGATTGAGGGCATCTTATCAAGTGCCTGTCACCAAGGTGTCTTGACACTACTTTACACACTGTTTCTGTGTACTAAGGATCATAGGCATCTCTGTTGTATCAAAGGTTCATGGCAAAATCATGGACCTAGGCAAATTGATTTTTGACAATATTTAGTGTGATTTAAATTAGACAGGTGTTAAGGGCCCATATTAGAGCTAAGACAACCTTTTCTCAAGGGCTTGACCTCTGCTGTCACGGGGAGGAGGAAGCTGCCATGTCTGATGCTCTGAAGAAGCACACAGCACACATGGGAGTGGCTGACGACAGAAATCTTCACTAGAAAGGCATGACAGGAAGAGAGCTTGGGAAGTTTTCCTTGATTGAAAGGGAAACTTGAAGAGCCCCTCCGGAAAGTCCCAGCCCAGTGATCATCTTGAGTAGGCTCACAGGGACTGTGCTCTCTCTAATGTCGTGCCCAACTCTTCCAGCACTACCTCAGGAGTCCTGGCATCCTGGGTCTAGCTCTGACACAGCAGGGGCACCCTGAAGCTCTCAGCAGCTAGGTTGTGGCTGCTAGCCACAGCTGCTGTGATGGTGCTAGCACTGCAATTATGGAGGAATCATGCAGGCAGGCAGCTGCAGCTGAAGCTAGGTGCATGGTTGATGCAGATACAAACACACAGATAGTGCTCCAGGGAATAATGGGCAGGCAGCTGCTTTGTACTGGGGCCCTGATGTGCAGCGAGTGAGCTTATTCATGTGCAATGAAAATATCATCTGGAATTACACCTAAGGTGTGTCAGTATACGCCGTGTAGAGAATGGTCTCCCTTCCTTAAGAGATCTAATTGTGTGTGTGTATGTGTGTGTGTGGTGTGTGTGTGTGTGTGCACATGTGTTAAAATGAAGAGATGCCCAATTATACTACAAAAGCATTTGTTCCACTATGTTCATAGCAGCACTATTTGTAATAGCCAGAACTTGGAAACAACCTAGGTGTCCCTCAGTAGAAGAATGGATAAAGAAGGTGTGGTACATATACACAATAGAGTTCTACTCAGCGGTAAAAAACAATGACATCTTGAATTTTGCATGCAATGTTTGGAAATAGAAAACACTCTACTGAGTGAGATAACCCAGATTTAAAAAGAGGAATATGGTATGTACTCACTCACACGTGCATTCTGGCCATAAACAAAGGACATTGAGCCTATAGTTCGTGATCCTAGAGAAGCTAAATAAGAAGATGATCCCAAAGAAACATATATTTATCCTCCTAGATATTGGAAGTAGACAAGCTCACGGGACAAAAGTTTTGAGCATGGGGGTGAGGGGGGATTTGGGAGAAGGGTCAATATGGGAGCAGGGAAGAAGATATCTTATCTAAGAGAGCCATTTTAGGGTTGGCAAGAGACTTGGCTCTAATGGGGTTCCCAAGTGTACAAGGGGATGTCCCCAGCTAGGTGCTTGTTCAGCAGAGGAGAGGGTGCTGCACACCGCATTCCCGTGTCTGCGCTCTGTGTCCTAGAACCCAGTTGGCGAGCTTCTGGCAAGGGGCTGGAGGTTGAGAATACACACGCAGACATGGACCGAAACAAACAGAGACAGACCAACACACGGACCTCTCAACACTCATTCAGAAAGCCCCTCTTTAATTAACAACATGGAGGCTTAAATACACTGCAGTCAATGGCCTAAAGGTGAAAATCCTTTAGCTAGGCACAGCTTCTAGGAACTTCAATTAGAAGGTTCTAGCAGGGAAGAGCAGCTGAAGGCCAGGACTCATTAGTCCCAACATCCATCTGAAGGCCAGGACTCATTAGTCCCAAGAAGGGTGACTGAACTGGCCTTGTCGATAGTCACACTGATGAATATCTCGAATATTACCATAGAACCTCTGTCTGGTGATGGATGGAGATAGAGACAGAGACCCTAAACAGAGTATTGGAATGAGCTCCCAAGATCCAGTTGAAGAGCAGAAGAAGGGTGAAGATGAACAAGGAAGTCGGGACCGCAAGGAATTGTTCTATCCACTGAGACAGTGTGCCTGATCTAATTGGAGCTCACCAAGGCCAGTTGTAGTGGGACCTAATGTGAACGTGATCAAAAGGAACTCTCTGAATGTGGCTGACAATGACACATCCCACAACTAGAGTTATGGATGTTCAATGTCCAACAGGAGAGGCAGGCATGGGGAGGAGTGGCTTCTGGACAGGTGGATGCACATCAGCGTCCTCGGGAGCCACTGGGCTGTTGCGATGAGGTCAGTGAGCAGCCAGAGAGGAAAGGAACCTTTGGGAGCCTGGTTCCCTTTGACAGGCTTCACAGGGACACCTCCCAGATGCCTCGGTTTATTCATTCCTCCTACAAGACACTAGCAGCAGATGCCGGTACAGTCCATGTCCATCAGCCAAGGCTCCCAAGGACACTCCTGCCAGAGTCTGGATGAGTCAGTCATGTGTTCTTCTCAGTGAGGGAGAAGGGTCACGCTGGCATCATGATATTACTGAAGGTGATGGGAGAAGCCACTGTAGGAGCTGGGCTTTGGTGAACTTGGTTGGAAGTGACCACACCACCCTTCAATACATTTCCTCATGTCATGGTGACCCCAGCCATAAAATTGCCACTTCAGAACTCTCATTTTGTGGCTGTTTTGAGTCTTTTGGTTTTTTTAGTTTTTTTGGAGACAGGACTTCTCTGTGTAGCTTTAGAGCCTGTCCTGGAACTCTCTCTGTAGATCAAGCTGGCCTCAAAGTCACTGAGATCTTCCTGCCTCTGCCTCTTGAGTGCTAGGATTAAAGCCATGTACCACCACTGCCTGACCAGTTATGAATCTTACTGTAAATATCTGATATATCCAGTGCTCTTAGGAGACCCCATGAAAGGGTTGTTTAACTGCTGAATATTGTCTACAGTGTCTGTTGCAGAAAGTGTCAGATGGATCCACATACATGTGTCTCCATAAATCCTATCTCTACAGAGAGACAGCAGAGAGAGGACGTCTTGAAAACGTCATTCTGTCTTGAAGGTCAAAACAAATCTCTTCATTTGTTCTGAGACTTCGTCAGGATGAAGCTTGTGACTAGGTCATTAGGAAGAATGAAGTTCTGTGTAGATCATGGACCAGAGACTGGATTCCGGGAACATGGCACCAGCTCTGCCTGGGATTCTGCA